CAACTTCTTTCTCTTTTAGCAGATCATTGTCTCTCTTCTCTTCCATCTCTGTTAGCTTTGACATTATGAATGCTCTAAATTCCTTATCAGACATTTCCATGATTTTCACCGAACTGCTTGTGGAAGAAGAAGAGTTACTCTTTTCCCTTGGAGGAGAGGTATTTTCTTGTTTTCCCATATTTCTTGTGATCCGGCGGTGATTTCTTGTCATCTGATGGATGGTGTGTTTCTTTCAAATTCTTGAAATTCAGTCTGAATGTTCAGGAGCAAGCAGACAGAGGTGATCTAGAATCTCTTTGCCGTTCTGTTGTGATCGCTGGTGCAGCAGATTCAGTAGATATTGAGGAATATTTTAACCCTATTAGTATTTGGATGTTTAGCTACAATGCTCTTAGATCCTTCTAAAAACACATTAAATGGATATTGGAGAGTGGAGAGACAAGAAAAAGAAAAATAAAAAGAGAGAGAGAAAAAAAAACAACAAAAAGAGAAAAAAAAGTAAAAAAAAAAACGAAAAATATTGTAATTACAGTTTTACTTTTTTTTAAAAAAAAAATCACAAAATAGAAAACTGCACGGCACTCAAGCATGAAATACCTAGTTCTGAACCTCCTTCTGAAGGTCTGGCTTCTTCTGCCTGGGTGGAGGACCAAAGCGATAATTAACAAGATAAAAGGTGGAGTGGGAGCAAGAGAAAAACTTTGCCTTTAAAAAAAATGTAAAAAGGAAAAATTACAAAAAAAGAAGGGAAGACAAGCAGGGACAGACAGATACAGAGACACAGAAATAGAGATAGAAGGCTGGGGGGCTCCCTACCGCTAGCTTGTTTGCTGGAGGCTCAATTATCAGTAGAATGTCTTCATTTCTCTTGTGCCCTGCAATACCTAGTTCACAGGAGCCATGTGGAACCTCCTTCTCAATAAAGTTTTTAAATAATTGTTTCATTTCATTTTATTTATTTACTATTATTATTTTTAAATTTGGAATAGGGCACATGCACCAGAGAGAGACAGAAGGAGAGAGAGGGAAAATGAGAAAGCAAAATACCAGGTTCAGGACTTGAACTGTAGTTGGCCATGTAGGAGCCCAGTGCCTTAAACATCATGCCACCTGTTGGTATTTTTATTTTTTATTTTTTTTTGGAGAGTGTTTTGCTATAGGGTGTGTGTGCTTGCCAGAAAGACAGAGAGAGACAGAGAGACAGAAAGCGAGAAATCATCTCCAAGGGGCAATGGCCACACCACAATCCCTTCTCCTACATTCTCCTTTTGGGATCTTGGGCACACAACCAGCATGAGTTTAAGCCACCAGGTCCAAGACTGGAACCACAGTCAACTACATGGGAGTCCAGTGACATGGCCATTACGCCAATTGCTGGTCCTAACCTGTTGGTATTTTTAGCAGGGTCTCACTACTGTGATATTTTGGCTCAGTCTCCCAGTTAACTAGGATCACGGGCATATGCCATGTGCCTGTCATGATTAGGTGTGTCCAGGAATAAAACCAGACCTTCCACGTGGCCCCAGTCCTTTGCCGTGCCCTGCTACTTGCGCTACCACAACTGGGTCTACCATTCTATGGTTTAGATACCTTCCTAAAGTTATCAATAATTTTTCTTAATACATACAGAAAACTGGAAGAATACTAAGAAATGCTTTAAAGTGTTTACTTCTAGAGAGAATGGCTAGGTCATGAGGATAGAAACTTTTACTTTGGGATCATGTTTCACTGCTGTGCCACCATCTGACCCCCTACAGTAATTAAATAAAAAATGTTTTTAATGCAAAAGGCCACAGCTATATACTTTATAACAGAAGATTAGAAAACCTAAGGGTTTTTCCCCTGGGAAGAACCATGACGATATAAGGAGAATTTATCAGAAACTTTTTTTTTAGATTTTTGCCATAGGGCCTGTGTGCTTGCCGGAGAGAGACAGAGAGGGAAAGTGAGAAATCACCATTCCAGAGGGGATGGCCATGATGCAGTTCCTTCTCTTCCATTCTCCTCTTGTGATTTTAAGCATGTATGCACACATGCTCAGTGTGTTTTTCAAGCCACTGAGTCAAGGATTCAAATCACAGAGTCAGCCATGTGGGATCCACTGTCTTAACTACCACACCACCTGCTGGTCCAGTCAAAATTTTTGAAACAAACATGGAATTCAAAGAAAAATAACAAATGGAACAATGCCAGATATAAGCAGGCACTCGGGACAGGAGCAGGCACTACTGACTCACCAATGGAATGCCTGAGCTCACTGCATTGGCTGATGGAGGGTAGCTTCAGTATCTCTCTCCATTTCTTACTACGACCACTTCTTTTGTTATATCCTCCTGAATTTAGAAAGAAAAAAAAAGGCACTTTTTTTTTAACAGTCGGAAACATCCAACTATAACAATTACTTACACTAATGTATCTTACTATTTCTATTGGGTAGTTTGGACACTCATGACAAATAAAATTACAAGCTTATAATAATTTATCTTACCTGGAAAGCAGCTTTGTAAAGTATAAAATTCCCAATGATGCAATCAGTCACTGGGTTCTTTTAGTAAGTAGCTCTACTGGGCCCTACTTTCCAAATCTGTAAGCAGGATTTAACATGACATAGTGTACAGGCTGATTATAAATATTTGCTTAACAAGTATTTACTGAGTACCTACTGTGTACCCAACACCTTCAAAACACTGGGAACACAGGGACCAGCAGTTGGTGTAATGGCTATGTTGCTGGACTCCCATGTAGTTGACTGAGGTTCGCATCCCGGACCCGGTGGCTTAAACTCATGCCGGGAACGTGTGTGTGCATGCCCAAGATCATGAGAAGAGAATGGAGGAGAAGGGATTGCAGCATGGCCATCCCCCCTGGGGGAAGTAGATAAACTAACAAAGCATATCATAATAAATAATAAGAAAAAAAATCAATCATTTGTAGTGATCAACAGTATGAAACAAAATCAAGCTGGGAAAAGGTGTAAGATGTTACTTTGACTCACATAGGATCAGAGACCTCTCAGCAAGAGACACTACTAGGCAGAAAAGAGAATCTAAAACATAGAAGGGAAAGTCTTGAGATGATCTGGGAGAAGAGCAACTCAGTGAGAAAAGAATGGTGGAAAAACCATACTAGAATATTTTAGAAAAATCTTTTTAAACAAGCATTTTCCTTTTTTTAAATTTGATTCAGAAAAGTTAGAACCTTCAAGCTCAGATATTCTAGGGAGCTAAAATTTGAAATAGCGAAAAGAACATTACAGCTAAGGTTGGGTATGAGTAAGACTTGAGGACTATTAGGAAGAATTAGGAAAGCACATTTCCTTGAGAGAGATGGTGAGCTCTGTCTAAACATGGTAAGTTTGGAAAATGGTGAGAGGCAGACATCTGGGAGATGGAAGACCAGGATAAGTTCTGGAGAAAAGGCACAGCTAGAGATACAGATCTGATACTCATCTGCAAAAAACACAGAATCAAAGCTGTGAGAGTTTCTTCCCCAGCTTCCTTTTTGCTTAATTACTCCACTCCATATCTGAACCAAGATCATGATATCTGAATATATATCCTAGTACTAAAAGTCCAGCATACCTCAGGGCCACAATGTTCAAATTAGACTCATGACCTTCTCCCTCAAAATCAGTCTTTTTTTTTTTTTTAAGATTTATTCATTCAATAAACATATAACAAGCCCCAGATGATGCCAGAGAATATGCCAAGTGCTGCTTCAGTGGCACCTACATTCCATGTCACCAAAGGGCTAGGAGAGGATCTGTTTCTCATGTCTCTTCACAGGGACCATGGGAACTCATTCCAGAGAATCGGCACGTTCGGTTCACCGAAGCTGTCATCTTTGGCTGTGAATTGTTTTGTTTTGTTTTGTTTTTAGGGCAATTGCTGGATCTCCCTTCAGCTGAAATAAGAACTGATCTTTGGAATATATCACTTTCATCTGATCCTTTTCAGAATTAGAGAGCTGAGTTGTCACTGTGCCCTCCTGTTCCCATGTGTAGATGCTGAATATGATCTGAAAGTGCACCGAGACATGACTCATACCGTCAGTGGCAACAATGTGCCTTCAGCTGCCAAGTCACTGAGCAGGTGAGAGCAAGTCACTCTTGATCCCATTCACGTTTCACTCTCCCTCCTTCCCTCTAGCCCATTCCAACTTTTTACTAATCAAGTAATTAGCAAGAAAAATTGCAGGCTGACGTGAGTTTCAAGCATCTAGGTCCAGGACCTGAACCACTGTTGGTCATGTGGGAGTCCAGCAACAAAGCCATTATGCCAAATACTGATCCCTTTAGACTCTCTTCTAATTGGCCTTTCTAGTTTTTATCTTCCCTTTCCAAACCCTCCTCCACACTTCCTACCAGAGTCATGTTCCTAAAATGCAAATATAAGCTCCTTATCTGCTGCTTACAGCCCTTGCACGAAGTTGAGAAAGAAGTGCACCCCTACCTGATATTACCTATAGGCACCTGATGCTCAAGTCACACAGAAGTACAAAAGCCCAAGAGAAGAGCAGGTTCCAGGAACTCCAAGTCTCTGCAGGGACTCGCTCCAGCCTCTTCCATCTATACAAATCTCTACCTGAGACTCAAGGAGAACCTCCTCCACAAAGCCTGCTCTGCCCTTCCTGGGAAGATGTAGGCAGTCCTTCCTCTTCATAACCTTTGCACCTTGAAAACATCTCTCAATCTTAACAAGGAAGGTCTAAGCTTACTGTCATTCCTGGTGTATCTCCAGCAAGCAAACAAATCATTGAGGGAATGAATAAATGGTCCATTATATGCACAATGCATGAAAAGCAAGCTACTACCTACTGCAGACACTAAGGGAATGTTTATTAACTTTGAGTAGAGTTGAATAAAAATGAGCTACAGGGAATAGGCCAGAGTTAGAGGTGAAATTATCAAGGGCTAAGGGGGAAAGGGACTAAAAGTAAAGGTTTGCTGAGTATTGATTATATGCCATACACCTTTCCAGGAGCTTTACCCATCCTGATTCTTTATCCATTCCTACCCTAGAACCACTGTTGGTCATGTGGGAGTCCAGCAACAAAGCCATTATGCCAAATACTGATCCCTTTAGACTCTCTTCTAATTGGCCTTTCTAGTTTTTATCTTCCCTTTCCAAACCCTCCTCCACACTTCCTACCAGAGTCATGTTCCTAAAATGCAAATATAAGCTCCTTATCTGCTGCTTACAGCCCTTGCACGAAGTTGAGAAAGAAGTGCACCCCTACCTGATATTACCTATAGGCACCTGATGCTCAAGTCACACAGAAGTACAAAAGCCCAAGAGAAGAGCAGGTTCCAGGAACTCCAAGTCTCTGCAGGGACTCGCTCCAGCCTCTTCCATCTATACAAATCTCTACCTGAGACTCAAGGAGAACCTCCTCCACAAAGCCTGCTCTGCCCTTCCTGGGAAGATGTAGGCAGTCCTTCCTCTTCATAACCTTTGCACCTTGAAAACATCTCTCAATCTTAACAAGGAAGGTCTAAGCTTACTGTCATTCCTGGTGTATCTCCAGCAAGCAAACAAATCATTGAGGGAATGAATAAATGGTCCATTATATGCACAATGCATGAAAAGCAAGCTATTACCTACTGCAGACACTAAGGGAATGTTTATTAACTTTGAGTAGAGTTGAATAAAAATGAGCTACAGGGAATAGGCCAGAGTTAGAGGTGAAATTATCAAGGGCTAAGGGGGAAAGGGACTAAAAGTAAAGGTTTGCTGAGTATTGATTATATGCCATACACCTTTCCAGGAGCTTTACCCATCCTGATTCTTTATCCATTCCTACCCTATGATGTGAATACTACTACTGTTACCTTTTCTCAGACAAGAGAATGAAGCAAAGAGGCTAAACAACTTGTCCAACACTGCGTAACTACTGAGAGTAGATCTAAGATTCTAATTCAGATCTGCCCAACTCCAAGAATCCAACTTTTTCTTTTTTTAATTGCCAGAGGGTGTGTGTATTCACCAGAAGGAGACAGAGAGAGGAAGAGAGAGAGAGAAAGTATCCCCCAGTTGTGGTCATGTCACAACTCCTTCTCTTGTTCTGTTGGGATTTTGGGCATGTGCACACAAACACCTGGTGTGTTTTTCAAGCTGCTAAGTCTGAGATTCAAACCACAGTTGGCAATGTGAGATCTGGCTCCCTTAACCACTATGGGGCTAGCCCACAAGAATCCAAATTTTAAGTTATAAAAATGACCGATTTAAGATTTTAAATAGTGATATGACTACATTGACAAGGGGGAAAGAATGATGGAGAATTAGTTTAAGAGTTCTAACTCCTCATCTAACATAGCATAAAGCTAACTAGAGCTTAAACATTATCTTTTAGAAATATAACAACAGGGGCCAGCAGGTGGTATAGTGTTTGAGGGCACTGGAATCCTACATGGCTGATCATGGTTCAAAACTTGGACCAGACAGCTTGCTTCCTCACTTTTTTTGTCTCTCTCTGGTCGAATTAAGAAAATAATGAATGAAGATAAATAAAATAATTTTTTAAAGATTTGTTTTAATTATTTGCCATGTGGATCTAGCTTCATATGTACAAAGCTTAACCACTGCATTACTGGGTCATTCTTGGATCTTTAGTTCTTATTCCTTTAAAACAGACAATGTTGCTGGCCTTCTCCCTTGTCAGATTGAGTGCACCCACCTTTCTGCCATCACCCACCTTAATCTGTGCACCTTTTATCCTGCCTGATTGGCCAGAGTCACATTGTATGTGTGAATTTCATACTAGAAGCTGAAGATAAAACATCATCATATTACCATTAAAGCAGTAAACAGAAAAAGCTTCTAAAGAGACATTACACATCTGGTTAGAACATGGGCTTTGGGTGGCCAGCAGGTGGCGTGGTGGTTAAAGAAGCTGGACTCCCACATGTCTGACCGAGGTCTGAGTCTCGGACCTGGTGGCTTGCTTTCTCACTTTCCCTCTCTCTGGTCAAATTGAATAATAATAATTAATAAAGTTAAATAAAATAATAACTCAAAAAAGAAAATGGGCTTTGGACCAGATAGTCCTGGGTTTGAACCCTGAGGTTCCCATTTCTTAAGGACTGTGACTTCAAGTAATTCTCTTTACTTCTCTTTCCTCATTGTCCAAGGGATTGATAAAAACCTGTCCCTAGACATAGGTCACAGTGCCTGCTATATTACAGGACCCTACTGGCTTAGCAGCTGCATCAACCTCACAAGTCCAGTTCATCTAAAAGTGCTAACATTGATTTTCAAAACAACACTTGCACAAAAAAGATGTAGGCTTACAATAAATGCAGTGTAAATGCTCATGCACAAAATGGCACTGGAGT